AAAAAAAAAAAAAAAAAAAAAAAAAATTAAAAAAAAATAAGTCGAATTCCAGATCTCTCGTCAGACCTACCGACTCGGAATTTCCGCGGACCCAGGCAGGTCTGCATTTTCGCAGCCTGCAGATGTAGTTGCCGAGCAGTGTGAGGACCAGAAGCCTGAATGCAGCTCACTCCTGTCCCAACCTGCCCATAAGAGCCTTTATTCTGCTTTTATATCCACGAACAACTTCTATTTCCTTTAAACCAGAGTTAGGGGTTGGTTGATCTTCTGAGGGTGCAGTGGGGCCGCGCCTTGGGTTATGGAAGCATCCGCGCTGGCTGCTTTCGGTTTCCTTTCGGGACCCAGCAGCAGTGCGAGAGGTCTGCGCAGAGAAAGATGCCAGTGTGCCGGTGAGCCCAGGGGTACAAAAGGGAGAGTGGAGGGAGAACAGGTAGTTTATAGGGCAGAGCAGGGGAGGCTGGAGGCAGCGTGGCGTGGAGGGAAAATACTTTGTACAAGAGACTAGCTGCGACGCTTGATGAGGGAGGGGCAGCCACGCCCAAATCCGGGAGAGCACCCCAAATCTGGAGTCGTACCTCTCACGAAGAGTAGTTGGCTTTATCTCTCATTGCAGTCATCTCTAAATGCTGTGAGACAAACCTAACATATTAGTATTAGTATTAAAAGTCTTTTTGGGGGGAGAGGGGTTGCGACTCGAATGAGAGTTTGCTGGAGCTGCCACACCTAGCAAGTCTTCGAAAGACGATGGTCTTGGAGGAAAGGGCTTGTCCAGGAGAGCTGGGTTCCATCTGCCTCTATACTTTCACTACCCTTGTGACCTTTCGCAATGAAAAGAAGCTCTCTGAGATGGGACAGGACCCAATCCCTGACCTGCCAAATAAATTATGATGGTCAAAGTAATTAATTAATAAAAATGATGTGAAATCTAAGAAATTGTTAAAACTTCCTGAGGCATGACATTTCCATCCACAGGAAAAGTATTGGAAAAGGATCTTAGTGGAATGGTTACTAATGTGAGGCAGAGTACAACTTTAAAAAAAGCATTTGCAGGGAGACAAAGATGAAATGAACACAGTTCCTGATCCTAAAGTGGCTCATTTTCTAATGTGGGGAGTATAAAATGGTCAGATGGGGTTCAAGGCAGGGCACACTTGGTTCCATCAGGGAAGTTTCAACCAGGGCTAGACCAATGATTCTAAAACTTGCCTACATATTTGGAATCACTGAGGGGGCTTTAAAAGATATGAAGCCCTAGGTTCAACCCAAGGGATACTGATTCAGTTGGTTTTGGCCATGGCCTAGACATATGGATAGTAAAAACTCCCCAGGTGGTTCTATAAGCAATCAGGTTTAAGGACCATGGCGTAGGTATTCCAAAGACCAAGAGATGTGGGTTGGGGATAAGGCACAGCTTTCAGTAGAAGGAGGCTTTCAGGATGGCATTAAATTGCAGGACACCACGCCAGCAGAGCATATATGTACCCAGAGGACAGGGAGGGTCTCCGTGTGCAGAGTCACGGCGGGGAGGCTCTAGGGGTCTGGGAGAGAGGAAGGGCCCTGGCCCAGGAGCAGTACCTGTTCTCTCCCTGAAGCCTGTCCAGGATTCCAGGTAGCCCCGCAGTCTTCCACAAAGCTCTCCCTGCACATGGGCCTGGTAATACTTGCTTTGAAAGCCATCTGTGTCCCAGGACTTCTCCATTTCCATGGCCAAGTTCTGAGCCAAGGACTGGGGCGCTGTAGTGGGTCTCTGGGTGACAGGAGAGGAGGAACTCCCCATCATAGTAGCGAAACCTGAAGCCCCAGGCATGGTTGTCTTCTCGGATTTCACAGCCCAGATCTCCTGGAGGGAATTCACACCTGCAACCCACCCCACCAGCAGTGACTCCTCCAGTCCCTGCTGTCCCTCTGTCCTCACACCCAAGTGAGAAACTCCAGCCAGAGGGCACCCTCCCTGCTCCCCTCCATGTCTTCCCAGGGCTGCTGAGTAATGGCCACCCCCCTGCTGAACTCACAGACCCCTATCCTCTGGCCCCTGCCCCCAAATCCAGTGAAAGGCCTCCCAGCACTCTCAGACCCTCCCCACTCTCACCTCCTTTCTCCTCCTGCAGGGCCAGGATTTCTGCTAGAAGCTCTCTGAGGTCCTTCCACGTCTCTGTCAAGTCCTTGGACTCTGTGTCCCACGTCTCAGCTCCCAGCTCTTCTGCCCACAGCCCCCGGGGTTCTACCCTGCCTGTCTCACGGTCATAGCGCAGGAGGGCCTGGCCATCCAAGCGTCCCGCGAAAAAGCTGAACTGCACAGATCCATCCCGGGACAGCGCCGTGAGGTTGTAATGAAGACTGTGTGATCCTGGGGAAGGGGTAACCGCAGATGAAAGAGCTTTCCGGAAACAAGTGCACATCAAATGTTTAGCAGACAAGTTCTGCTGTCCTGACCTGCTCCAGGACTGAGGATGCAGAACACGCACATGTACAAGGGACCACAATGAGAATTTTTCCAACACAGGGGAAAGAAGAAAAAGAGAAGGGAAGGAGAGGGGAATTGAGGAGTGGAGGGAGGGGTGGAGATGGGCAAACACGCAGGACAAGTGCCAGGACAGGGAGGCACCGGCTCCCTAAGGGTCCAGGCAGGAGGCCAAGGGGAGAAGCTGGCCTGCAGGGGGCAAGGGAGAGGCAGGAAGACCAGGGTGAGGGGAGGTGGAGTCAGAGGGGAGGGAGGGGCAGTGTCAGGCCCAGGATCAGAGGCATCCCTGGTCAGAGGCGGGTCAGGTGAGATGGAGAGCGAGGGCTGCTGCCCGTGGGGCAGGCTCATCATGGACAAGGTGGGCTCAAGGGAGGGTGAGGCACGAGGCAGAGGGGCCTGAGGGGCTGGGCTGTGGCCCTAAGGGAGTGGAAGGTGGGCCAGTACCCCTGGTGGAGGTGAAGCAGTGGGTCTGGGCCCAGAGTGCAAGAGGCATGGGGAGGCCCCAGGTGGGGAGGTGGCTGGACCTGCCAGTGTCCCCTGGGAGAGGTGGGTGTTGGGGGCCTGAGTCAGTGCCATGTGCCCAAGGGTCATGGAGAATTAGAAGGAGGGTTGGCAAGAGAAAATAGAACTGAAAAGCCAAGGTGCACATTGGGAGGGACCTGCATGGTGGGAGTGGTTGGGGGCAGGTCACACCTCCACAGAGGGTGTGGGTCAGGCAGGCAGCACAGGAAGGCAGGGCTAGGGGAAGACCCCCTGTAGGGAAAGGCCAACTGACCAAGTGGCATCAACGAGGATTTTGGATACATGGTTGAGGTAGTGAGAGCCCACTGGGGTCAGTGAACCCAAGAGAGGGTGATGAAGGCCAAGGAGGTGGGCAGTTGGACCAAGGGTAGTATTCCTACTGGGGAGGGAGTAAGGGCAAGGGGCTGCAGAGGAGACAGTGGTGAGGGTGGATTGGGGGGCAGGGGATGAGCATGCCTCAGGGGTGACTCTGGGGGACCTTGGGTTAGGGTGAAGACAGGAGAGGAGGGGTGCTCTGGTTGAGGGAGGGTGAGGATGGCGTGGTGATTCCTGGGAGGAAGCTTGTGATTGATGAGAACGTGGTGATGGCCCCAGGCACTCAGGCAAGGAGTGGAAGCTGGGCAACGTGCCATGGGGGTAGGTGCAGAGGGACCAGGGCAAGTGGAGTCCAGCACCTGAGGCCTGGAGAGTGGAGGTCTCAAGAGGGTGAGGTTTAGGATGCAGGAGTGGGGAAGGGGCAGTGCTGGGGGAAAGGCCCACACTGAACGAGGGCCAAGAGCAGGTGCCTGCACTGGGGCAGAGGTAGGAGGATGGGTGCCAAGACCAGGGGACATGTCTTCCCACAGGGGCTGTGCACTGTGCTCAAGGCCCAGTTATCATTAGCAGCAGAGCTCCCCCTGGTGATGAAAATAGGGTAGTGATGAGGGAGGGAAGTCCCCCTGGGCAAAAGTCATCCCCAGAAATGTAAGGTTAGTGAAAGCTGGGGGGTGGTAGGAGCCATGTGGGTGTCTGGTCCTTGCAGGTCAAGACCCATGAGGGGAAGAGAGGGACCTGTGGTGGGAAAGGGGATGAGGGTGAGGACGCCCTAGGAAGGGATCAGAGAACTGTAGAGAGGAGGGGACAGCAGGAAGGGGCAGGACAAATCCTGAGGGGGCGCAAGAGATGGCAGGGGAGGAGGCAAGGAGAGAACCAGGGGTGGGTACACGGGCACAGCAGAAAATAAGAGTGAACATGAGTGGGGGAGGGGGGAAGTAAGGGAGGAGGGAGGGAGTAGAGACCATAGAAACCACAGGAAGAATCTAGGCCCCAAAGCCATCAGATTCACTCTGTCAATGAAATTAATCAATAAACAATCTATAATAAGAATAGAAAAGAGTTTTATTTGAGCCAAACTAAGGACTAGCCCTGAACCCAGCAGGGTTTTCAGCACAGCACAGGCTTTTATATCTTGTCAGAACAAAGAACATTAAACAAGTCAGGGCTACAGCACGTACACGTGCAGCACATACAGTACGGCCTTGGCACCTGGGAAGGGAGTCTTATCATCAAAGGTGAACCAGCGTTGGAGTCCCAGGAAGAGGGGCATTTAGTCTTTTTTTTTTTTTTTTTTTTTTGCGGTATGCGGGCCTCTCACTGTTGTGGCCTCTCCCGCTGCGGAGCACAGGCTCCAGACGCGCAGGCCCAGTGGCCATGGCTCACGGGCCCAGCCGCTCCGCGGCATGTGGGATCTTCCCGGACCGGGGCACGAACCCGTGTCGCCTGCATCGGCAGGCAGACTCTCAACCACTGCGCCACCAGGGAAGCCCTAGTCTTTATTTTTAACATGGAGATTCTTTACTTCTGGCCAATGTGCCCTTTTCCTTTAATAATTAAAGCAGATGTACAATGTATGTCTGACAGGCCACAAAGAGGCAAGTTACTTAGCCCAAAGTTCAACTTAGTTCATGTATAAGACAGAATGACTTCCCTGTATCTGAATATGGGAAAACATTTTTTGTCGCTTCTCTCATTGAAAGCCAGGATCGGCCACGGTGCCCACAGCGGTAGGAAGTGTGGTTCAGGGCCCTTGGGCCCTTCCTAGAGCTCCAGTCACTAGAAAGAGACCCTCAACTCCAAGGCCTGGGGCCCTTGAGCGCTGCCTGCCTGGAAGCCCCCTGATTCCCGAGGCCAGAAACGGGAAAAGGGCAGAGCTGAGAACAGGAGGAGAGGACAGCGCTCAGGGGCCTAAGAGGGCACCCCACACACCGGTGGGAAGTGGCCGCCTGAGCGTCGGACCTCCAAGAGCCCTTGATCGCCTCTGACGGGAGCAACCCGGGCTTGGGGGCAGCCTTCCCACCCAGGGCAGTCAGAGGACGCGGATGTGTGAGGAAGAGGAAAGCAGGGAGGGCGGGTGCAGCAGGGGGAGCAGAGGGTGGGAGTTGGAAAGAGACTGAGAAGCGGGAACGTGCTGTGGTGGCCACAGGCCGCGAGCCGCTCCCGGCCCCTCCCCGACCTCACCCCGCCCCCTACTCCCCCCACTCCCCCGCCCCCACTCCCCACCCCGCTGCACCGCAAGTGAGACGGTCCCCGCGACGCTCACCGAATCCCACCCGGACCCTGAAACCGCCCCAGGCTCCCGGCTGAGGACCTCAATGAACGCCACTCACCAGCGGCGGTAGCCGGGAGCACAGAAAGGGCAGCGCCGGCTAGAAACGGCAGGACAAGGAGTAGCGCCATGGCCCAGACCTTGTCAACCTCCCAGAGGCCCCGGGACAGCAGCCGAGCGGGCGGCACTGAGCTGGGCAGCGGCGACGCACTGGCAGTGGAGACGGCCCGCACGGAGCTTTAAAAACTTGGCCCCGCCCCGTCCCCGTCCCTGTCCTCCCTCCCCCGAGCAGGGACCGCCGTCCGGCCGCTTCCGCTGCCTAGAAAAGCCTGGAGGCTAGAAAAGCCTTAGGATCCCCAGGAAGGTGAGACGGAGGGTGAGTGCAGACAAATGCCGAAGGGACAGGCTCTGAGCAGCAGAAAGTTAGGGCGGCCCCCACCAGAAGCGCCCAGATCACCGCCTCCCTCCTCTGCAAAGAAGACTCCCCGCCCGCACCAGGGAAGGTCTCACAAGGCTGCTTCAGAGACACCCCACGTTTCCGGCCTTTCGGGGCTTCTTCCTTCAGGCACAACTTCTCTACCATAACCCCCTCCCTCCACCTTGCACAGCAGAGGTACTGGCAACAGTCCGCTGAGACCAGATTTGCAGATTTCAGCAGCTCTGCCTCTCAGAAGCCACTTGCCCAGATGAAGGACTCTTCCCCAGAGTTCAAACTCTTCTAGATGTTTCCACCATTATAATCTTCTCCTCCCACTGACTCCAAGACGGAGCCATGTGTCTTTTCCTGTGGCCTCTGCCTATAGGTATCCACACTCTCCCAAAGCAGCCTCTTGATTCAGGCCCAATGAGGTGGCTCCCCATGATCTACCCCAACACCAACCTCTCCCAACTCCCTTTCCAACCTGCCTCAGGACAACTGCGCCTCTGGGCCCATCTGCCCCTCAAACCCAACAGATGTACAGGCAAACTCTACCCCTCTCCCTGCACACCAGCCTCTCTCCCTCCCCAAGTTCTCTTTAAGCATCACCAGCTTGGTCCCTTCTGATCCCCTTTCCCCTGCCTCTCATGGGCTCACAGTCAGCTCCTCCAACCCCTTTTCAGTCCCACTGCAGCTACCTTAGTCCAGGCTTTCATCTACCTCAGCCTAGAGAACTGCAAAGCCTTCCTAAACACCTGCCTGTCGCCAGTTATAACCATAAGGCCCCAGCCATCCACAGCTGCCCCATCTGCAGAATTAACACATAAGGTCTCTACTCCACCATCAAAGCCTGCAGTTGCCACAACCAGCTGTCTGGCATCATCTTCCACTTCTCTGGTGACATCTCCCCTGGGTTGCAGTAAAAGTGGGCTCGCCCCATTTCCTTACCCTGTCCCATCAGGATGCCACTCCCCTCTCATGGATTGCTCTCCTCTGCCTTCCAGCCCATCAGAACTGCACATCCTAAAAGATCTCTTTTACATAGTGGGATTGGTGGCACAACCTCTGGATTATACTAAACACCACTTAACTGTAACTTTAAAAGGGTGAATTATGTGATATATGAATTATACTTCAATAATACTGTAATAACAATAATGCCGTCCTGAAGGCCTCCTTCTCCTGAAAGCTGTGACTTAACCCCAGCACTCATCTCTTAGTCTCTGGAATACCTACACCATGGTCCTCAAACTCAGCTGCTTATTAAAACCAGCTGGAGAGTTTTCACTGTCTGTATGTTCAGGCAGTGGCCAAAACCAATTGAATTAGTATCCCTTGGGTTGGACTTAGACCTTCATATCTTTTAAAGCTCCCTTGGTGATTCCAATGTATTGGCAAATTTTAGAACCACTGGTCTAGGCCATGGTTTGAACCTCCTTGATGGTACCAGGTGTGCTCTCCCTTGAACCCTATCTTACCATCTTATACTCCTCCCATTAGACAATGAGCCACTCCAGTAGCAGGAACTGTGTTCATTTCATCTTTGTCTCCCCTGCAAATGCTTTCTCACATTGAACTCTGCCTGTCACTACTAGCCATTCCACTAAGACCCCTACCCTACACTTTTTCTGTGGATGGAAATCTCATGCATCACAAAGTTTTAACCATTTCTTAGATTTCACATCCATTTTTATTAATTACTTTGAGCATCATAATTTATTTAGCCATTCAGGGATTGGGTCCTGCTCATTCTCAGAGAGAATCTTTTCACTTCTAAAGATAGCAAGAATAGTGAGATGTAGAGGGGCAGATGGAACCCAGCTCTCCTGACAGCTGGGCCCAAGCCCTTTCCTCCATGATGTCAACACTCCTTAGAGGACTTCTTAGGTGTGCAAATCCAGCAAACCGTCTCATTCAGCTCACCCCCACCCTCCCAAAAAAGACTTTCAATACTTTAACGCTAATATGCTAGGTTTGTTGCACAGCATTTAGAGACGATTGTAACTAAAGCCAATCCTACTCATTCTGGGGGTGGAAGAGGCCCTGATGGTATAGGGCTCAGGGTCAGGGTTGCTCCCTGGATCTAGATTTGGCTGCCTCGCCCCCCAACACACACCGGCCCCCCGCCCAAGCTTCCCAGGTTGTCTTTTGTACAAAGTGTGTTCCCTCCACCCCACCCTGCTTCCAGCCCCCTCTGCTCTGCCCCATGAAAGACATTTTCTCCCTCCACTCTCACCTTTGTACCCCTGGACTCACCCGCACAGCGGCATCTTTCTCTCTGCAGACCTCTGGTGCCACTGCTGGGTCCGGAAAAGGAACCTAAACCACCCAGCACGGATGCTCGCAGAACCCAAGGCGCGGCTCGCAGGAAGGCCCTGAAGTTTTCTCTGCTGGGCCAGAGTTTACAGTGAGGACTGGAAATCACCCGTCCCCCAAACCCTGGGCTGAAGGAAATAAAAGTCGTCCACGGATTTAAAAGCAGAATAAAGGAACTTATGTGCAGGCTGGGAGGGGAGAGAGCTGCATTTAGGTTTCTGGTTCTCAAACTGCCGCTTGAGAAAATGAAGACCTATGTGGTCCTCGGAAATTCCGAGTTGGTAGATCCGGAGGGGGATCTAGAATCTGACTTATTTCAAACAAGGTCTTGGTTGATTCTGAGGCGTGTGAATAGGGAAATGCTTCTTCCAGCTCCGCCCCGCCCCGGGCCCCGCTGTTAGATTCTAAGAACCAAAAACTCTTCCTCCAGCCTTGCTTCCGCCCCAGGAAGCAGAGGGCCCACTAAGGATCTAGGAAATACCCGCCGAGAATGTTCCTTCTTCTGTGGGGAACATAATTTAGAGCTGGTGTGACTTCCTTCAAAGACTGGAGTGACTTCACTAAAGGACACAGCAACAGCGGGTCCAGGCACAGCTTACAAACTGCTCGGGCGAGCACCCACTCCCCTGTCTGCCCGCATCTGGCCTGAGGTGGACAGAGTCACCTGTGTTCACTGTGGGGCTCGAATGTGCAGGGGACAAGATGTAAAGAAGAGACCAGGAAAAGGAGGGCGGGAAGGGAGAAAGGGTTGAAGAAAGGAAGAGAGAAGATGAAAAAGGGTGGGAAAATCTACAGGGGAAATAAATTTTAAAATATATTTTTATTATTTCTAACTTATATTTAGTTCTGTCATTTATTAAAATTTTACCATAACTGTTTGATCTCCCTCTGAATACATAAAAGATGGCTATCATCGTTATTGCTGGACTACCTGAGAGCAAGTTGCAAACCTTAGGACTCCTTACCTCCAGATGTGCAGGGTGTCGCTCTTAGCAACAAGAACAAGGTGTTTTGTTTGTTTTGTTTACCTAACCAAAGTACAGATTCCAAAGAGAATAATAGTTTTAAAACCAACTTGGTTGGGGCATACTTTACATACAACCTATATTTCTTTTTCCTCTTGAATATTTTATATAGATCATTAGGTTTCCTTGAAGGTTTGGTAGGACTTAACCTCTAAAACATTCTGGATAAGGTTGAAGGGAAACAATTTTTATAACTGCTTTAACTTATTGACTTGTACTGTCTTTTCCATTGACATAAATTTCTTCAGTTTTAAGATTGTTTAAATCTCTTCTTTGTCTGCAGTGACATATCTCAGACAACTATGTTTTGTTCTTAATTTTGCCTATTTTCTCTTTTTAAAATAACTATTTCAATTCAGTATTTTACTTGGTTTTCTTCTTATAAATCCTCAACTGATACTATTTATTTATTTACTTATTTTTGGCTGCGTTGGGTCTTCGTTGCTGCACGCGAGCTTTCTCTAGTTGCTGAAAGCGGGAGCTACTCTTCCTTGAGGTGCGCAGGCTTCTCGTGGTGGCTTCTCTTGTTGTGGAGCATGGGCTCTAGGGGCGCGGGCTCAGTAGTTGTGGCGCACGGGCTTAGTTGCTCCACGGCATGTGGGATCCCCCCGGACCGGGACACGAACCCGTGTCCCCCGCATCGGCAGGTGGACTCCCAACCACTGCGCCACCAGGGAAGCCCCAAAGTGATGCTTTTAAAGGTGAAGTCCAATGGAATATACTCAGCCATAAAAAAGAATAAAGTAATGTCATTTTCAGCAGCATGGATGGCCCTAGAGATTATCATACTAAGTGAAGTAAGGACAGAGAAAGACAAATACCATATGATATCACTAATATGTGGAATCTAATTTTAAAAAAAGATACAAATGAACTTATTTACAAAACAGAAACAGACTTACAGATATCAAAACAAACTTACAGGGCTTCCCTGGTGGTGCAGTGGTTGCGAATCTGCCTGCTAATGCAGGGGACACAGGTTTGAGCCCTGGTCTGGGAGGATCCCACATGCTGCGGAGCAACTAGGTCCGTGAGCCACAACTACTGAGCCTGCACGTGTGGAGCCTGTGCTCCGCAACAAGAGAGGCTGCGATAGTGAGAGGCCCGCGCACCGCGATGAAGAGTGGCCCCCGCTTGCCACAACTAGAGAAAGCCCTCGCACAGAAACGAAGACCCAACACAGCAAAAATAAATAAATTAATTAATAAACTCCTACCCCCAACATCTTCTTTAAAAAAAAAAAAACAGTTACCAAAAGGGAAACGTGGGGGGGGAGGGATAAATCAGGAGCTTGGGATGAACACACACACACTACTATGTATGAGATAGATAACCAACAAGGACCTACTGTATAGTACAGGGAACTCTGTTCAATATTCTGTGATAACCTATATGAGAAAAGAATCTAAAAAAGAAAGAATATATGTATATGTATAACTGAATCACTCTGCTGTACACTTGAAACTAACACAACATTGTAAATCAACTATACTCCAATAAAATAAAAATATTTTAAAAAATCAAGAAGTCATACCATGTCCCTCTTCTGCTCAAAACTATCTTATAACTCCCATCTCCCTCAGAGCAAACGTCAAAACCCTTCCAGCATCCTCCAGGCCTTACATGGTCTGGCTGTACCTCTGATCTCATCTCAATTAATCTCTGCTCCTGCCGTACTGGCCTCCTCACTTTAACTGGGACACACAGACATGCTTCTGCCCTGGTGCATTTGCCTGAAGGTTCCCTCTGCCTGGAAGGAACCTCCTCCAGACATCCTCAGCGATAATTCCTCCATGTCCTTCAAATCTCTCCTCAAACGTCACCTTCCCAGTGAGGCCCTCCCTGACCGCCCTAGTAAAACACCCATTTTCCCTGTCCCCGTACTCACACTCTGGATCACCTTCTCCACTGCATCTTTTCCATTGTACGTATCCCCTAGTAACAGAACACTTTCCTTATTTACTATGCTGATAGCACATAGTCTGTCTCTTCCCACTAGAATACATGCTCCACAAGGCCAGCAATTTTTCTGTTTTTACTTCAATGATGTTTCCCAGATGCAAAATACTGTGTCATATATCTGGCACACAACTGTATCAGTTGAGTGAATGTTCAATGTAAAGCACCTCCCTATTCTAGAGACAGTATCTTTATTACTGTGACCTCAGGCCAAAAGCTGTTTTGTGGCAGCTACAGAACAACATCTACTCACATTGACGTCAGTGCTGCCGGTGTTTGTCTCACAAGTGCTGTTCTCCCCTTCCCACCAACCAACCTTCCTCCGCACTGCCTCACACAAGTATATTTTTCTTTTCAGAAAACAATGATCCTTGACTTATGGGTCCTATTTTCCAACCAAGTATAAACCTAAATTAGACTCTGCTTTACTTTTTTTTTTTTTTTTCTTTTTTTGGCCACACAGGGTGTGGAACTTCCCTGACCAGGGATCAAACACAAGCCCCCTGCAGTGGAAGAGCAGCATCTTAACCAACGGACCACCAGGGAAGTCCTAGACTCTGCTTTATAAATCCATGAGTTTGTACTGGAGCCAGCACTGGGATTACTAGAGCTAAGGGCAGGGAGAGTGGGTAGGCGAGCAGAGCAGAATTCCGACAGGAACTTACCTAAGACGAGACATTATGGTTTCCCGCCTTTCTGCTAATTCCAGAATCTGGATCCTTTGAGAAGGTTGGGGGAAATATGGAAAGAACAATCAAACCCTAGACAAAGGGCAAGAGCTGGATGAATCTGAAAATCCACCTCTGGACACCACAGACTCTCCTGTGTGCAGGGGCAGGCTTGGGCCTTGTGGGGACCACGACAGGCCAAACGACTCCTCCAGCTGTCAGAGGTGGGGGACACCCAGAGGAGAATAAAACACAAACTCAGGCAAGAACCTCTAAAGAAAGAAATAAACAACAAATAACACCCAAAAGATAGGGGCTGAGGACTGGACACAGGTCTGAGCCGAGGCTGACCTGGTGACTTCTTCTGAGATCACAGCTGCTGGTGGGACAAAGTTCTGAAGAGACAAGGACAAAGGAGCTGAGAAGATGTGACCAGGAGTGACCACCTCAAAGCCCACGATGCGGTGAGCACGGAGTGGGCACAGGCCACGTCCATGCTCAGCTCCTCATCACCTCCTCCTGTCCCACCGGCAGCAGACAGAGCACAGCAAGCACACAGATTCTGGAAGGTTCTCAGCGCTTCCATTTATTTTCTCTCTCAAACTTTAAGAAGCCTTTCCTTTATTATCCCATCAACGCCTCATGGCAGGAATTAGAAAAAACAAAATTCATATACAGATTTTATTTCCAACAGGCAAGTAAGACATTATTATTCAGTGTACCACGAAGTTAAGACAGGGATGGAGGTGGCCCAGCCCTGCCTCTGCTGGAACAGGCAAGTGGATCAGGGAAGAGAACACAGGTCAGGGTGGGGAGGGGTCGTGGTGGGCAGGGGTGGGCCAGTCTCCCCACGTCCTCACATTAGGCTACGAGGAACACAGACACATTCAGATGCAGCTGCAGAAAGAGGAGTCACGGGACCTGAAGCCACAAAGTGGGACCGTGCATCACCCAGTTCCCACAAGGCTGTTGCCTCACACTGTGAAAGAAAATAATCATGAACAAATTCAGGTCAGTCATGTAAGTGCTGACCTTCCCAACAGCCCCCCACATGCTCAAATGTCCCATTCAAGGATCCCCACCACCCGGAGCATCCCCTCCGCCCCAACACCTCTCCCAACCTAGGCCCTCCAGGGTCTCACCTTTAGGATCCGTGAGAGACACATCAGAGCCCTGGGCACTGTTACTGCCTGGGGGAGAACAAAACCAGGACGTGGTCAGAACCCACAGGAGAGAAACTAGAGAAGGAACTTTAGGACGGTGAGGCCCCCATGGCCTCCTGTCTGCACCCTCACAAGGGTCTCAGGAATCACAGCCCCTCCACACTTACTTGCAGCCTGAGCGTAGCTCCCTCCTTTCTCACCTGTAAGAAGAAAAGCTCACGTGAGAGGCCAGGGAGAAGACTGAGTTGTGAGATCCTAGAGGAAGCCCCTAGTCCTGGACCGCAGAGAACTTTCCAGAACTGTAACCAAAAATCCAGGACAGGATCAGGAACATGAAGAAAGGAGATGTGGGGGGACTGGACCAGCTGCCCTCCTGGGAGTCTGTCCTTAGCGGGACCTTCCCCCTCTGACCTTCAAGTGCTGAGAAACAGGCCCTCAACTGGAATTATGAAGGTGAAAAATCTGTCTTTCGTTTTCATATGTACTTTATGAAAGGGTAAGTGTTAGCACTCAGCTCCATATTCCACATGTGTGTGTAGGGTACTTTCCAGTAACGAGGCAGGCAAACGTCTACCTGGGCTTGAAGCCCCCAGTGAGACAAGAAAACTCAGATCCTTCCCCACCTTCCCTACCTGAGTGCTTCTTCCTCCAGATCACAGCTCCAGTCACCACGGCTCCAGTGACCACCAAGAGAACCAGGCCAACAATGAGGCCCATGATGGGGACGGTGGGCTGAGTAGGTTCTGTGGAGGAAAGGGAAGGGGCCCTGACCTCAGGCCTGAATCCCGACCTTGCTGAATGTGTCCAGAAGGGCTCCTGCTTTATCTGAGAGGAAGCTCCACCCCACATGTACCTCCTTACCCCATCTCAGGGTGAGGGGCTCCTGGAGCCCCTTGTGCTGCACATGGCATGTGTATCTCTGCTCCTCTCCAGAAGGCACCACCAGGGCCACCCACTTCTGGAAGGTTCCATCCCCTGAAGGCCTGGTCTCCACAAGCTCCATGTCCTGGGTCTGATCCTCCCCATCACGCTGCCAGGTCAGTGAGATCTCCTTAGGGTAGAAGCCCAGGGCCCAGCACCTCAGGGTGACCTCATGGTCAGAGATGGGGTGGTGGGTCACGTGTGTCTTTGGAGGGTCTGAGGAGGAAGAATCAGAAAATTCACACTTAGTGTTACCTTCATGGGCCACTGAAGCAGCATCACGTGACCATCCTGAGAATGAACAGCACAATGGGTTTGAAAATAACAAGCACAAACACCAGACACCAGCCTGGACTCCGGGGTCTGGGAAGATCTCCCAGTCCTTGGCAAGTTCTATGATAAGGATGAAAGCCAAGGTAGGAGGCTCCATGTAAAGGGGAGAATACAGAGCAATGGTCCTGACTTTGGAGGAGGCTGAATGACTCAGAAAAGCTGGAGTCAGGCCTCCTAAGATGTTCTCAGGCTGAGAAGAGGCTTGAGAGAGAAAGTCATGGTTCACAAGATGGGGGTCAGGGTCAAAGGGCGCCGCTGGTCAGTTATTTCAGGGATGGTTTCCTGTTTCTTCCCCAAAGAGACTGGATTCTTTCACTGTCTTTCAGAGAAGTGAGGCCACCGGCGAGTCACTGTCTCGTACAGAATACGAAAACCTGGGCGGATTCCTCCCTCTCCCAACAAGAAGTTGGGGCGGTGTTCCCACAGGGACCCCATTTCCTCCCCTTGTGGGAAGCCAGCTCCAGCCCTAGGGGAGACCAGGGAGGCCCCGTGGCCCCTCGTACCTGCGCGCTGCAGCGTGTCCTTCCCGTTCTCCAGGTATCTGCGGAGCGCCTCTACGCATGCCCCATCCAGGTAGGCTCTGTGGTGCTCCGCAGCACCGGCCTTCTCAAACTTGCGCTTGGAGATCTGAGCCGCCGCGTCGGCCGCGGTCCAGGAGCTCAGGTCCTCGTCCAGGGCGATGTAATCGGCGCCGTCGTAGGCTAACTGTCTGTACCCGCGGAGGAGGCGACCGTCCGGCCCCACGTCGCAGCCGTACATCTCCTGGAGGGTGTGAGACCCTGACCCCGTCCCGACCAGGCACAGCGATTAAACCCAAACTGAAAATGAAACCGTGTAAAGTCCCGCCGTTTCCTCCCGAGTCGCGGGGCCAGGCGGGTCCCGCAATGTTGGGGTTGCCCTCGGACCCGGAGACTCGGGGCGACGCCGGCCCGTCCCTGGGGATGGGGGTCGTGACCTGGACCCGGGCCCACGTCGCTCACCGGCCTCGCTCTGGTTGTAGTAGCCGCGCAGTATGTTCAGGTTCACTCCGTAAAACTGTGCGTTTTCCTTGGAGATCCGCGTCTCCTCTTCCCAGTACTTCGGCTCCTCCTGCTCCATCCACGGCGCCCGCGGCTCCTTCCTCGGATTCGGGGCGTCGCTGTCAAACCGCACGAACTGCGTGTCGTCCACGTAGCCGACGGAGATGAAGCGGGGCTCCCAGCGGCCTGGCCGGGACACGCCGGTGTGGAAATACCTCAGGGAGTGGGAGCCTGGGGGCGGGGAGCGGTGAGACCCGGTCCGACCCTCCTCCCGGCGCGGGTCCCCGGGTCCGAGGTGACGGGGCCGGCAGGGGGGAGGGGGCGAGGGGCTCGTGAGACGGAAAAGGTGTGGAGGTCGGAGAAGGGCCGGCACCTGGGGGGGTGGGGAGAGAAAAGGGGGCGGGAAGCAAGGGAGGGACAGGCGGGGACCGGGGTGAGGGGGCGGGTCTGGACCGGGGGCGGTGGCGTGGCTCCTTCCCTGGGAGTCCTGACCCCCGACCCCCGGGGTCTCCTCGCTCCTCCCCGCAGAGGCCGTTCCCTCCCGACCCCGCACTCACCCGCCCAGGTCTCGGTCAGAGCCAGGGCCCCGGAGAGGAGCAGGAGGAGGGTTCGCGGTCCCATGACCTGTATCCTCGGCGTCTGAGGAGAAACTGCGTGAGACGGGTCGGTGGAGATTTTACAACCGGGAACCGCGGGGACGCTGATTGGCTTCTAGAAACCGGACACGCAATGGGAGTGAGGACTGGGGCGTCGTCATGAGTATCCAGTCAGGAGGGTTCGACACAGGCTGTGAGAGAGAAAGTGAAACTCAGGGGAGATGAAGAATCCCCAACACTGAGCGTCCCCGCCCCAGACACCGCCCTGAGAGAGACCCAGTGAGCCACACTCGAGTTCTGGGATGTTGCCCTGATCCCGCTCCTCCTGCACCGAATGCTCTTCGTCATATTGTCTCTCTGAGTCCTGGCCCAGGGGCTGTCTGAGGAAACCAAGAATCCATGCCCAGATTGGGCTCAGCCAATTTTTCCTCCAGTGTTCTTTTGAAACCATCGTGGCTGAACAGGACCATCTGCCTCTCACCCCTTATCTCTCACCCCTTGGACTCTTCTAGAAGAAAACTCACCCGCCAGGGACCTTGATGCCAGAGAGTGAGGTCTCTCTGGGAATGGAGGTGGAGGAACAGGGGTTTTGTGCTTTAAACCTGGAGAAGTTGTGCCTGAAAACACCAGATAGAGATTCCCATATGGATCGGATAGTTTCCTTTGTGTTTGTTAACTATAGCGGGGAGCACAGTCTTTATGATCCGCAAACATCAGGAATCTAATGTGTAAAACTGATTTTGGCCCTTACCAATACAGAAATGTGCCTGAATGGCACTGCCAATCATACTCACAAAGCTCCTAGATTTTACTTTCCCAAACCATGTGTCAGTGTCTCCTGTGTTGCTGTGTTTTAAAATTGTCTTCATTCCATATCCCTGAGTTTGTGTGAGTTGAAGAGGAGCAGAAAAATACCGCCCCAAAATATACCATTCTGGCATACTGATTATTTTGAACTGAAGTTATGATGAAATAAAATTTATATTTTGAAAAAAAAAAATTTATATTTTGGGGGCTTCCCTGGTGGCACAGTGGTTGAGAGTCCTCCTGCTGATGCAGGGGACATGGGTTCGTGCCCCGGTCCGGGAAGATCCCACATGCCGCGGAGCGGCTGTGCCCGTGAGCCATGGCTGCTGAGCCTGCGCGTCCGGAGCCTGTGCTCCGCAACGGGAGAGACCACAACAGTGAGAGGCCCGCGTACCGCAAAAAAAAAAGAAAACCAAATGACATGTTTAATATCTTATAATTAATTTAGAGCAAACAAAAATTAAAGTACAAGAATTTATTTTCCTCCTGAGACACTATATTAGTTACCTGCTGCTGCAAAATAAATTATTCAAAACTTAGCTGTTATTCAAAACAACAAACATTTATTATCTCCCAGAGTGTTTCTGGCTCTGGGCCTCTCTAAAGGAGACAATCAAGTTGTCAGCCAGGGCTGCATCATCTGATGGCTTGACTAGGGCTGCAGGATTCACATGAAACATGGCTCACTTGTACGGCTCTTGGAAGAGGGCCTCAATTTGCAGCCACATGGACCTTTCCATAGGGCTGCTTATGACATGGTAGCTGGCTTCCCCCAGAGCAAGTGATCTGAGCAAGAGAGCAACAAAGATGGAAGCTTAAGTGAGTTTTATGTCCTAGACCCAGCGTCATACACCATCACATCAGCCTTACTCTATCAGGTAGAAGTGAGTCATTAAATGCAGCCCACACTCAGGAGGAGAAAATTAAGCTCCACCTTTGGAAGGGAGGAGCATCAAAGCATTCCTGTATGTGCTAAAACCAAAATTAAAATTAAATATTCTTGGGCTTACCTGGTGGTTCAGTGGCTGGGAGTCCGCCTGCCAATGCAGGGGACGCGGGTTCGTGCCCCGGTCCGGGAGGATCCCACATGCCACGGGACGGCTGGGCCCGTGGGCCATGGCCGCTGGGCCTGCGTGTCCGGAGCCTGTGCTCCGCGATGGGAGGGGCCACAGCAGTGAGAGGCCCGTGTACAGCAAAAAAAAAAATTAAATATTCTTTCAGGATTTTAAAAATCAAATACTGGAGTATATGGTATATACACTTTAACCATACTAGATAATGCTATTTTGAGTTCCAAAGTGCTAGTACCCAACAAAACATTGTAAACCAACTATACTTCAGTAAAAACATAAATTTTTTAAAAAGTGCTAGTACCAACTTAAGCTTTTACCAGAAATGTGTAAGAGTTCATGGAGCTGATGTGTTTACTCTGAAAATGAAACAAACTCAGCTTGGGACTTCCCTGGTGGTCCAGTGGTTAAGCATCCACCTTCCAATGCAGGGGACACCTGTTCAATCCCTGGCTGAGAACTAGGATCCCACGTGCCACAGGGCAACTGAGCGTGCTACAACTACTGAGCCTGCGCCACAACTAGAGAGCCCACACACTGCAACTACTGAGCCCTCACGCTCTGGAGCCCACGTGCCACAACTAGTGAGAAGGCTACGTGCCGCAACAAAGAGCCCGCATGCCACAACTAAGACACGACGCAGCCAGATAAATAAATATTTTTTTAAAAGAAACAAACAAACAAACAAAAAAAGAAACAAACAAACTCAGCTTAAGGAAAGGAAATAGGAGTTGAAAGTCACTTACTTGTTTGCAGAATCACCCAGGCACTTTATTTTCTTCCTTTATTTTACTTTTATTCCATATACCTTGGCATTATAATTTTAGCATATATAGATAATGCTTCCTTTCAGTTTTCAGTATAACCACATAGTATTATTTTATATGTTTGAAACATCCGATAATAAGAACAAAGGAAGGAGAGGAGAGAAGGAAGAAAGCAAGGGGGAAGGAGAAAAGACAAAAGAAAACAAAAGTAAAAGAATGAAGAGGGAAAAAAAGGGAAAAAAAAGAAGAGGAAGAGAGGAATTGGAAGCGAGTATAAATAACTTTTTCAAGGTGAAAGGAGATAAAACAGATTTAGGCAATAACTATAGAGTAATAGAGACTTAAGAGGGCTTTGTTAGTTATCTACTGCTGTGTATCAAACTACTTCTAAACCTTAGCAGCTTAAAACAACAAACATCTATAGTTAGTCAGACAGAGAAAGACAAATATCATATGATATCACTTATATGTGGAATCTTAAGAAAACGATACAAATGAGCTTATTTACAAAACAGAAATAGACTCATGACATAGAAAACAAACTTCCGGTTATCAAAGGCAAAAGTGGGTGGGGGGAGATATAAATAAGGAGTTTGGGATTAACATATACACACTACTATATATAAAATAGGTAAACAATGATCTAATAGCACAAGGAATTATATTCAATATCTTGTAATAACCTGTAATAGAAAAGAATCTGAAAATATATATCAATATATATGTATTTACTGAATCACTTTGCTGTACACTTGAAACTAACACAGCATTGTAACTTAACTACACTTCAATTTTTAAAAAACCAAACATCTATCACCTCAAAGAGATAATACGAAACAAGCGAAATGGAACAGATGCTGGTAGAAGTTGGATAAAGAGAAGGATTTTACAAGATGGAATAAGTAAATAGGTTGTTGGTATACAGATGGAAATTATTTTGTTAGTCCCAGTCCTCCAAGAAACAAATGCCAAAATAGGATTAAACTCAGCAGAATTTTATTAAACATCTGTGAGAGAATATGGAGAGGGAACCAGAAAAGATGAGAGAGCCAGCAGACCAAGATGCAACTCTGATCGCAAGTGATCAACAGAAGGAGAGCTTTCCTGGACTCTCCAAGACCATCAAAAACAATCTAAGCGAAGTTAAGCAAGGCCAGAGGGAGTCCTCAAGTCACAGTTGGTCATCAGAGGAGTCCCATGTCTCCCAGGAATGAGTCTCCCATAGTGTCCCTGCTGTGACCAGTTACTGTCTGGGAACAGCCCACAGGAAGCAGGGCCTCTGCACAAACGCTGTCATAGATTTCAGAGCACAGGAGCGTGGGTCCTGTGCCTTACCTGGGAGTGTGACCCAAACCTTCACACCTGATGGGTCTGGGCCTCTGGAAATCAAACACTTCTGTTATTGGACTTAATTACATCCCTCCCAACCAAATTCTTATGTTGAAGACCTAAAGACCAATGAGACTCTATTTGAAGATAGAGCCTTTAAGGAGGTAATTAAGGCTAAACAAGATCATAAGGATGGAGCCCTAATATGATAGAACTGGTGTCTTTATAAGAAGAGCAAGAGGGCTTCCCTGGTGGCGCGATGGTTGAGAATCCGCCTGCCAGTGCAGGGCACGTGGGTTCGAGCCCTGGTCCGGGAGGATCCCACGTGCCGCGGAGCAGCTGGGCCCGTGCCCCACAACTGCTGAGCCTGCGCTCTGGAGCCCGTGAGCCACAACTACTGAGCCCACACGCTACAATTACTGAGGCCCACTTGCCTAGAGCCCGTGCTCTGCAGCAAGGGAGGCCACCGCGATGAGAAGCCCGCACACTGCAATGAGGAGTAGCCCCCGCATGCTGCAACTAGAGAAAGCCCGCGTGCAGCAACAAAGACCCAACGCAGCCAAAAATAAATTAATTAATTTAAAAAAAAAAAAGAAGAGCAAGAGACACCAGAGATAGCCTTTTTGTTGTTTCTTTTCTTCTTTTTTTTTTGGTGGGGGTGGTGCTTTGGCCATGCCAAGTGGCTTGTGGGATCTTAGTTCCCCGACCAGGGATCAAACCCGGGCCCTCGGCAGTGAAAGTATGGAGTCCTAATCACTGGACCACCAGGGAATTCCGTCTCTCCCTTTTTCAATTCCCCTGTGCTCACAGAGGAAAGGCTGTGAGGTCACTGTCTGCAAGCCAGGAAGAGAGGCCCCACCAGACACTAACCCTGCTGGCATCTTGATCTTGGACTTCCAGCCTCCAGAACTGTGAGCAAATTAATTTCTGTTTTTAAGTATCCCAGCCGATGGTATTCTGTCATGGCAGCTTGAGCAGCCTTTCTCAGGCTGGGTTGCTGCATTTGTCTGTTCAAATTACAGGGAACGTGAGAGAACCAGGAAGCGCCCAGTCTACCACCACTTCTGAATGGATTCCTCCTGCCCTCATTGTGTGGTAGTAGCTCCACCCCTTTCTGCA